CAGGGGTTCAGAATGTGGTACATATACCGTTTGGCTTTACTGTTAACTGATTAAATACATACAGCAGCCAAGAAAATTATCAGTGTCCCACAAATAAGCTAAAATGTTTTGGGTAAAAAACCACCTAACCTTCCCAATCCAATAAAAAAGGCACAATCAATCAACATTGGGTCTTCCTGAGTATGCTAGCTTTTCTACTTGCAAGTATGTGTTAAGGAAAAAAATAAATCAATGACAGAAATGTACAAAAGACAATTATAAGAGCAACAACAGCAAGACTTACTCCTATCACTTATTCTTTGTGAAAAATCAAAGAATTCAATTCAATCACTAGAAGTTTCCAACTGCTTTCACTCCTCCAGGAAGCAAAAAAGGCACAAATATTTGATTCATCAACAATCTTCTTATAATTTATCTTCAATCCTGCATATATTGGACGTGCACTGAGACACTACTTCTCCACCCTTCTTTCTTGAGGACAAGCTAAGAAATTCAGTGTTAGAAATATGGATTGCATAATTGTAATCTAGATTGCAAGTAGAATCACATTTTATTGTCCTGTGCAAAAAGCACATGATGCAAGGAGAGCATTAGGACATAATGGGCAATCTTGAAACTAAAACAATTCTCCCTACTCCAAAAAAAAAAAAAAAAAAAAAAAAAAAATCCAAATAAATTTTAAATTCTTTTGCTTCCCAAATAGATAAAATTCATTTTCTAATGTCTTTCTAGTGCACACATGGGATACATCAGGCAAACATGTACTGTACTTAAATTACAATTCCAGAGTACAAGGTGGATATTTTGAAAGGGCGATCCAAAATATTAAAAGTGAACCATGACATCTGGAAGTGTTAAGAATGAGTCTCTAACCCATTAAAACAAGATAGCTTTCTGGTGGTGCTCCCAATACCAAAATGCAGTTTAAAATATTGGCCTCTTCTGCCACGTGAAGCGATACTGCCCATAAACACACACACCCATTTAGCCCCAAGAAACCACCCTTCATGTAATAAAAGATCAGGAGGGGCTTGCGGGCCACTCTGTTAGCTTCCGATTGGCAAACAAAAATAGAAAAATAAATAAATAATAAGACGGTAATTTCCTCACTTTCAACTGAGGGAAACAAAAACTTTTTTGTAAAAAAAAAAAAACAAGCCTTCTCTGTTCCTATTTCCCGGCTTGGTTTCCCAGTCAGAACCGACCCACGTGCGCCGGGTTTCCACTTCCTTTAAAGTAACCTTCCCGCAGGAAGAAACTAACTCGCCCAACGCTCTTTGCTTTCTGCCTCCTTCCTCCCCCCCCCCCCGAGGCGCGTTAGGTGGCACAGTCCAGAACTCTTGTCACCTCAGGAGTCGACTACCTCAGCCTAGGGCCGATCTCCAGCTTCCCTACAGCACCGGGCCTTCTCCGGGGCAGCCGGGGAGAGATGCAACGCTCCTCGCCCTCAACCGCCCTCCTCCTCCTCCTCCCCACGCGATCGGGTTCCTCCGCTTCCCATCCACCTCAGCTCCTCACCTGCCGGGCGCGCTGAACAGCATCGGCGAAAGCGTCCTTACGGATCCCGCCGGGTCCTGGACCCGCCGCTCCCCCAGCCTGTCCGGTACCGACAGCGTTGCCTCCTCCGGCTTGATTTGGAGGCCCGGCAGTTCCGGTTCCTCCACCCGCGCCCGGCGGCCCAGCGGAAGGTGGCGGAGGACCGCCGGTGCTATAGTCCGACATGGCGGCAGAGATGAACGCGGCGGCAACGAGGGCTCAACGCGGGAACCAGGCCGAACACTCTACCCCCCTTCACACGCACGGCCGCACTGCACGCCGGGAGCCCAAGAGGCGGGACTTCGCGCCATTATCCCCGCCTCCTGTGCAAGCCACTCATCCGCGAGATCGAGATGAGCGACATCGCAGAAAAGCCAGTGACTATAAAGAGAGGCAGGCGGCTTGGACGCCCGATCTATCAGAAGCGATGACAGGCGGGATCTACAGTTTGAGTGTCAGAAGGCTACTCGAATTGTAAAGAGGAAGGCGGCGCTTTGCAGGATCTATACCAATTGGAAATTGAGAGAGGCGGACTGAATGGTCCATGATGAACCTATCGGGGTAGGACGGTAGCTCAATCCCGAGTCTCCAATTGGAAAACCCGCGAATACGTCATTGCTATCAAATGGAGACAACCAATCCGGCAGTTCCAGTCTATGTTGCGGTTGATGGGGGGAATTCCTCTCGCCGACTGAAGGTTGAAGGGCGGGATTAAAGTATGATTGATGGAAAAGATGACCACTCCTACTCGGCAACTCTTAAAAAGACTCCACCACCAACTGCGAAGGGGCCGCTGGAGAACTGAAGCGCGCCTTTCGACAACCGCAGCGAGGAAAAAGCGCAGCCAACCGCGATCGAGCCATGAGATAGGAACCATCGAGTGAAGGCAGTGCACACTTCCGCTTTATTTTCACGGAGGTCTAAACCCATTGGCCGAGAACTCAGCGAGGTGGGTGAGGCGTCTTGCGATCGGCATGCGCCCTTCGGCCAGAGGCATCACAGGGAGCCTTCCCCGCTCCCTCCGAAAACTGAGGCAGGGGATGGGAAGGAGAGGAGGCGCTTCTTAGGAGCGAAGGCCGCAGACCGCGGAGGCTGATCCATGAGCTTTCTGGGGCAGGGCTCTCCCAACCTTGGCAACTTTAAGACTTGTGGACTTCAACTCCCAGACAGCTTTGCTGGCTGAGGAATTCTGGGAGTTGAAGTCCACAAGTCTTAAAGTTGCCAAGGTTGGAGAGCCCTGTTCTGGTGGGCAGCGAAGCTGAAGTCATTGCAGAGCGAAAGGCAGGAGCTGCTCGCGGGGACTTTCGCGAATGGAGGGGCTCTTGTTCCCCACACTACCTATTCCTCCAAAAGGCATCTTGAGGAGAACGGCCTTTGCTCCAACTCCAAGACTGACTGACCTTTTGCGAAGAGATCGAGACCCACCCGGCGTGCCAGGCATATAAAGTGCCCGAAGACACTGGGAATCGAGCTGACATATTTAGGATAAACTGCTGCGGTTGCATCTGCACGCTTATTTGTGTTAACGTTTCGAAAGAGAACTGAATAAGTAAATGGAGACTTAAAAGGCTTTTGAAAGTTTGGAATAAGCGATGAAGGCACCAGGCTAGAAACCAAGAAGCTGTGCGCTCCTTTCACCATGGAAGCCGGCTGGGTGACTTTGTTTGCCCAGTCGCTCCAATCACCTCAACTCACCTCACCGATATTATGAGATGTAGAGAAAATAGGAGGAAGGCATATTAGGATGTTTGCCGCCTTGAGGTTATTTATTTAAAAACCAAAGGCAGGATATAAATAACTAAATCGCAACCAAATTTCTGTTGCTAAACAAGGCAGTTATGTGAGTTGTGCCCCATTTTACAACCTTTTTGCCGCAATTGTTAAGCAAAACACTGCAGTTGTTCAGTGAACCATCTGGCTGCTAAGCAAATCTGGCTTCCCCCATTGACTTTGCTTGCCAGAAGCCAGCTGGAAAGGTTACAAATGGTGATCACATAACCCTGTGGGACAGTGTAACTGTCAATTGCCAAGCGCCTGAATTTTGATTATGTGACCATGGGAATGCCGCAATGGTCATAAATCTGAAAATCAGTCATAAGTCATTTTTTTCACTGCTGTTGTAACTTTAAACAGTGACTTAAATGGTTAAGTCGAAGACAACCTGTGCACAAGGCATAATCCTGTGTAACTACTAATATTATGGTCCAAGCTTCTCTAGGCCATAACTCCCAAGAGAATTTCTTCCCACACAGTAAGCAATTTGATAATAGATTTCTATGTTCTAGCATTCTTCTACGCCACATAACATATAGCTACATCGTACTAAGGGCAGTATATTGGATATATATGATTTTGGATAGCACAAATGTAATTGTAATTGTGGGGGGCAATTCCCAAGATCTTTCACAATTATTTTTGAGATTAACCTGATAATCAGATTATCAGTGATAATCTACTGTGATGTGAAAAGCCAACTAAATGTATAAAAATCCATTACTAATTGGCCATTGCCAAATGAGATCAGCATGTGTGATTATAATTTGTCCCAAGATGCATCATTTCATACTTGCTACTATATACCATTTTAATATCCATTCACTTTCCATGAACATGTTTCATCTGTTTTCTTACCCTTCTAAAATTACTGCATGTGATCAGCAAATGTTTTTCAGCATTCGTCTCAATTTATCCCTAGTTAAAATATATTCATCCTAATGCAGATCTTTGAGAGCAAGTTCAGTATGGTGGTTAAGGCATTGGGCTAGATATCTGAAGTTCATGAATTCTAATTCTGCTTTTGGCACAAAAATTACCTGAGTAACCTTGGGCCAGTCACTCATTCTTAGCCCTAGGAAGAAGAGGAAAAACACTTCAAAAAATCTTGCCAATAATACTGCAGGGATTAATCCATGTGTTCACCATCAGCCACAATTGACTCGAAGACCTTTGACACATCCTACTGTTTGTCATATGCAATCATTCCTACTCTACTTTCTGTTCTTTAACCAGTTTTCAGTTTATAAAATAATTCCCATGACCCTTAAGTTTGCTTAAGTATCTTTGGTTCGAGACTTCTTTTTGAAAATGGAAAATATATTTGTGGACAACTGTCAAAACACTCTAAAGGATTACTGAGATAATAGCATTTTGCATGCTCCTATTGATTGCTTTTCAGCAGGATATGACACTGCATGGTATTAACTTTATCTTTAATAATGATTTCCATCTTTAGTTGTTTTGTTGCGATAACAATTACCTTCTAAAACAGCAGTGGATGATTATGGACTACATGAACCCTGAAACCGTCATGATTTCACTCTTCCCTTTTGAGTAAATTTTATTTTGTTTATTTTTCAAAATAAAAGGTATATTAAGCCTATGTTAGAGAACAATGGCACAATGAAGTATCATGTCTTTTCAAGTGTTTTTATGTTAGTTCTGAATTCATTTCACAGATACCAAAGTTTGGAAAATGTGTTTTATTTTTCTCTTTGAAAATTTAACATAAAATGCATCAGGAGCAGTGGCAGACATATAGACATATCTCACTGGAGTTAGATTCAGGCAAGATAAGTGCTTAAAGTATTATGATACCAGTATATTAAGAGTTTGTTCAGTCCCCCAAAACAAGACAGTTGGTTCTGTGTAAAAGTGCAAACTAGGTATCTAGTTTTTGTGGGAAAACCTATATTGGAGGTCATCTGATTTATCAAATGATCTTCCTATTACTCAGTCCAATTGGCATCTCAAAAGATCAGTAGATTTTCAGTGAGAAGTTCAAAACTACTATTGAGTTATAGTACACCTTTTTTTTTTTTAACATTAAGAAGATAACCTCCTGAATCAAATGAAAGACCCTTGTTTAATTAAAGACCGTTTTCCTCAGTGACCAATCAATCCCTCTGGAAAATCCTTACATAAACTATGACCACAGTATCTTTCCCATTTTGTTCAGCCAGCAAACAGTATTTATAAAGGAATTACATTTCTGATCCTGAAAATTCTGACAAGTGAGATGTCATGGAGAGATTATCAGTCGTTTAAAGCCATGCAAGTTGGTTGCTGCTACTACTGTACATTTTGGGTACAACTACTGCCAGGAAAGCATTTGAGGACACCTTATCAAGCCTGTTGCTTCCATTCCTGGATTCTCCAGATGTGTCAATGCCCACATCTTGGAATATGTCACATAAGTATTTCGTGCAAACCAGAGATTCTCCTTTCTTTTGAATATACATGAAGCTGAAGAGGGTGGGGGGATGAGACATTGGCAGCTTTCATACTTGCTTTCTCTATAATCTTCTTTCACGTTCTATACAAGACAAAATGAGAACCTTCTTCCCTATAGGCATCAGGAAAGGGACAAAATATAGGTATGTGGTGGGTAGCAGAAATAGCAATTGGTGGCCTAATAAAGATACAAAAGGCACTTTAAATTTGGAACTTGACAATCCTGCGCCTTGTCCTTACTGAATCTTTCTTGTAAAATGGAGTGGCCAGAACTACTAGCCAAAATACCCCAAAATAATATTGGGACATGCCAACTCTTGCCCATCCTACCTGTCGAATCAATACACCAGTGCCAATACCATTTTGGAATGCCCATTCAGAAGCAGGTTTTATTTAGTTCATGATATTAATGCTAAATAAATGGGTGTAGAATCCTACCCTTATTTAATAAAACTCATAAATGTACAATATTTCCAATGAAAATAATGTTAACATTTCCCAGATGAAAGCAGCTTAGAAAGGACATGATCCTATTGTGCAAGGAATTGCATCTTTCTCTATTTTTCCTTCTGGTGAATCATTCTTCACCTTTCTCCCTGGAAAAATCTCCTTGTATCAACCCGAACTTGGTGATGCAGTGGTTAGAATGCAGTATTGCAAGCTAACTCTGCCCACAGCCTCAAGGCTGACTGAGCCTTCCATCCTTCTGAGGTTGGTAAAATGAGGATTCAGATTGTTGGGGGCAATATGCTGACATTATAAACCACTCAAGAGAGTGCTGTAAAGCACACTGGGATGGTATATAAGTCTAAGTGCTATTGCTATCCTGTTTTCTCACTTAGACTTTAATAACCAACTGAAGTAGATCTTACGAACAGCAAGCTCGTATACATGATCAAAATCCACTCTCCTATAGATAAGGTGGACTGTAGCGAATATACCACTGAAAACACTATAGTGGGGCAAAACATCCACTGTCCTTGGCACTTCATTTGAAGGAGCGTCTTATAAGAACTTCCAAGAGGAACAAAAAACCCTGCCTTACTTGCAAGAGATCCTTTCTATCTACTGAATGAGGTACTTTTCTCAAATGGAAGTGCCAATTCTCTATCTGATTACCTCTTGTAGGTAACTAAAACTGAAGTAGCACTCTAGTCTGACAAAAACATAAATCCTCTCCCATTTTTGAGCACCGCGGTGCCTCTCCCCTCTCCTGCATCAACCTACTTCTAGTAAAGCTACAATTGTGGCAGACACTCAGATGATAAGTCTTTCAAGGATATGACTCAAATTCCAAAAGTCATAGTTATATTATTGTAACCATCATTACAGCTTTCTTCAATATATGTATTTTGCTGGAAATAAGGGGAACCGTAATTAACACTTCTGGAGGACATCAGATTGGAAAAGGCAACAGCAGCTCTTAAAAAGTGACAGTGGAATAGGTCTGTTACCCTCCCATTCATGGCTGTGGTTCTCTCAAATGCAACTGGTTGGTGCGAGAGATTGCATAGAAGAAGGGAACAAGGATTTGTTTATCTGAGAAGAGGCAACATGTCCAGATATGAGAGATGTAGGAAAATAGGTTTTCAAAGACACTCAACCCTAACAGCTTTCAGGATTCTGTATCCACCCCAGAACAACATGAAAGATATATTCCTGAAATCCATGTTGCTCTTGCTTACTTGGTTTTGCCAACTATGTTGGGTGTGACAGAATGCAGGACTCCGCAGCCTTCTCTAGTAGGATTCTAGATGGGTACCAGGTTACCTATTTTGAATGGGAAGATGAAGTGAAACATTTATTGAGACACTGGTAAAGGGGAATTTTGTGGACTGAATAGCTCTATAGCCTCCATCCTGCCTTTTCCAACTTTCCAACATAAAGGAAAAAATGAATACCCAACTGCAATGTAATTCAGTTGGTCATAAATAAAAGAGGAGAGCAATACAAAGCAGAGTTGAAAGAAATCCTGAATGCATGGCTTCAAGGACCTTAATTATGGCAACAATGAAGCTAGTATAGCTAGTGCAAATATCTCAAAATGAGTAGAAATATGTACACACCATATTAGGGGATCTCAGCAAAGTGCTTCGATGGTTACCACAAAATAGTAGCCCTTGTAATGTATTCCAACATTCTCTGCTCCCTCAGAGTAGAAGGAAAGGAATGGGGATAAAATGGGAGAGGCTTCAGTTCAGCCATAGAGGCCCAGGTAGAGACAGCAATCTAGTCTTATAAGTTAAAAACAGTCAATGTGCAAAATATACAGTTTCCATAATACAGAGACAAGTAAAGTGGATCTGGGCTAAAATGCAAATACCAGGGGCTTCAACACCCCTATAGTTTCTAGGAGGAATGGAAGAGGGAAGAGTCAAAAGGAATTCATCATTGCAAATAGAAATGCTAAATGAAGAGTGGAATCTATTGGCCAAAGTCCTCAAAAATTCATATATTCCTGTTTCTCAATATCTGCAGAAGAAATTGGTGGACTCCAGGGAATAATCACAGATATTCTAGTGTCATCAATGAATTGAAATCTGGCAACACGTCCAGAGCAATCATTGCTTAGCTCCTTTTCCGCTAGATTATGACATGGCTATTAATATGTCATGGTTCTCATGTTCAGTTGTTGGGGACAAGATGCAAATTCAGGAGCAGCAGGTGGCTCAGAAACATGTCTGTTTGATGAGACCATCTCTGCAAATTCCAGAATGTGGGCAAGAAAAAAAAACTACCTCCAAGAGGTCACTTTCCCTCCCACCCCCAACCAAAGCCTTTGCAGGATAAACTTGGTTGTTAGTAAGTTGGCTCTTGTTCATGGAGAAGTTTGTACTTTTGACCAAGGTGGCCTGGATCCAATCATTCCAAACACCCTCTTAGCTCTCCATTTCACAGCAATTACAGTAGGATATCCCCACCTTTGCTGCCCTTCCAACACCTTTCTTGTGAGCTAGGTCCCCTGCCCTTTGGCGACACATGGTCCTCCTTCATCTAGATGTTACTCCCAGAGCCTGCTTCATGTTCTCATACACGACATAGCTGATGCTGACAGCAGGAATAACCTTCATGAAATTGGGGGCGATGCCACGGTAGAGACCCAGGACCCCTTCCCGGGAAAGGATATTTCTAAAGAGACCCAGCATGGTTAGCTGTGGCGCACCTTCAATTGATGCTGCAGTGAGACAGTGAAAAAGAGAGGAAAGATTAGTAGAATGCCTGGCACAACATACCTGATAAACCAGGTGAAGTTCAGAGAGTCTTGTTTGAATAGGATCACCAGGTCCTACATGGCTCAGACTCAAACCCATGGGACAGAGCCTGAAAGTGTGCAGAGACAGAGAAGGACTGACAGATCAAGACTTGAAGTATTGCATGCCAGAATTAGAACAGGACCTAAAGATAATCTCACAGAATTGGGACAGAACCTAGTAACTATGTCTAGATTCTCAGAGTCAATCCTCATTGTTTATATAACAAATGATAAAACCTGAAACAACAAAGAAAACAACCTGCCTTCTATTTGTTCTAGCCCCTCATGTTGAAAACTGATTCCTCCTTTTTCCTGGAGTAACAGACAACCATGAACATACATGTCAGATTTGGAGACCTTTCCTATCCCATTTTCTTTCTCAGTTTCTTTCCCACTAATCTCCCCTATGTCCACTCCTCTGATACTAAGACTTCATTATCTTCCCTGTTATGGTTATCCCACATATAATGGCTGTCAACCTGCTCCGTTGAGGATGCTCCTTCCTTACCTTGTGCCTGCATCCGGGTTCGCACCAGGGCTAGGGGATAGCTGGCAATTTGGCCACAGGTACTGGAGACGGTGCCACAGGCCAAGAGGACCAAAACTCCTGGGTCAGCGGTGTTCTTGCTGTACTTCTGTAACCAGGTGTTCTTTAGTGTCTTTGGTGAGAAATGTGAGAAAGAGGGTAAGGTGATCTGGGCATCAAAAGCCAAGCACAAATAAATTGAAGAAAAGGGAGGGAAGCCAGTGATAGGAACCCCCTTTTACCCGTGAATAAGCGCTCTATTAAGGATGAGTAACTAATCCTCAAAAAGTGTTCTAAAGAAAGAGCATGTCAGCCTAGCTTCTTCCTTGGATAGCTTCCTTATTCTTTGAACCTACACACAGCCACTGACCTCATAAACAGCCAGGTCGATACCAGCATAGGGGATAATGCCCAACATATTTGGTAGGTAGCCCTTGTAAAAGGCAGGGATTCCTTCCTTCTGTAGGATCTGCCTGGCACAGTCTGCCACTCCTGAGTACTGGCCTGTCTTGCCGAGGGCCAATCGTGTCTTCATGACCTAGTGGGAAGAAAAATTAATGAATCAGGTGTTAAACAAGAAAACAGTCTCGGTACCTGCATCTGTTTCTTCCAATTTTACATCTTCCTCCACCTAATTTCAAGTGTCTTCTGCAAGTGATTATTCAAAAATGTAGCATATGTTTTCTTTTTCCTGGTGGCTTGTAGGATGTCAATTAAAAAAATAGATTGGCCCAGACCAGCTTGGTTATGATCCATCTCATGTTACTCTTGGTGAATGGGGTTCCCTACCTCTGCAAAAAAGGAATGGTTTTTCCAAGATAAACAGTTGTCTATGCAATTATCTCTACCTAAACTGGCAGTGTTTTTCTATTGTTTTATTTTGCCCCCCAGATCATGTTCTTAAGAATTCCTAATTAGGAAAAAAAAACCATTAAGCAATCTATTCTATCTGAAATTGGTGACACAAATTCTTTACTAGGCTAACATCTGAAATTGATAATGAATTGGATGAATATAGGGTTTAGAAATTAGGGATGCCCTTTCAGATCATTCCTGGAATTGTTTGAGGAGTATACATTTTGATTAAAAGGTCACTTGTTGGTAGAGGGCATGGCTATCAGACACTATAGTACCAAAAAGGGGCAATTTTACCTCCATGGGGTAGATTATTGTCTGTGCTGTAGCCCCAGCCAGTGAGCCAGCAACAAATCTCTCCTGTACCCTTAAAGTTTCCTGTGGCCCACGAATTGCTCGTTTTATCTGCAAAGAAAAGCAATGGATTTAGTCAACTGGAAACTCCTCCACTTTCATCTCAATTAACTGAGTAAGAGCAGCATGCATAAGAAATTACTACATTTTATACCAGGGGAATGGTATGTTGCTGCACTGGGATATCAGTTTCTGTAGGGATTTCAGTAATAAGCAATGAAATCTTCATGATAACTTGGCTAGATCAGTTATTTCATTTTGCTGGATTTTAGGTTGAAGGAGATTATAATGTTGGAACGTATAGAATTTTTGTTATTGATTAGTCTGCTTCTCAATTTTTTTCCCCAGGAGCTCAAGACATAACCCACCAGACTTCCTTCTCCTGTTTTATTCTTAAAAGCAACTGAACTTAACAATGTGTCCCAAAGCATCCAGTGAGCTCCCATACCAGAAAGCAGAGTTGAACCTGAGGACTTCCCATTCCTAGTCAATCATCTAACTACTATTCTTTTTGCAACAGATTCCCAAGGGAGAAAAACAGACAGAAAGCATGGTATTTGGCTCTGAATAAACTTCTAGTCCAGCTATAACTATAGTTGCTAGTGTCCCCTATTTTTGAAAAGCATCCAAATGTGAGCTAAGTCTTTCTTAACCAGGCTTCTCTCTGCTCTTCTTAAAGGAACCATGAATCCAGAAGGACCCCCAGATTAACAGCAAGCTTGTAATCTGGGGGTCCTTCTGGATTCATGGTTCCTTTAAGAAGAGCAGAGAGAAGCCTGGTCATTTGGATGCTTTTCAAAAATAGGGGACACTAGCAACTATCATCCTTTGCCTTGTTGTAAAGGATGGACAAGTACAATTTGTATTATGGAGCTGCCACATTTGCAAGTTATGGCTCGTACGAAATATGTCATCCGAATCCATCCCATCCACTACCATATTGTAACACCTTTACTTTGAGAGCTGCAGCTGTTGCGGCTTGGTTGTGGGTATTAAGCGTGCAGAGCTGCAAACACCTTTCAAGTCCATACCTGCTCATAAGCCATGAACTTGATGGCAGATTCAGGTGCAATCTTGAGAACGTTGACGCCATTGCCCCGCCACAGCGAGCTCATGCCTCCCTCGTAAATCATGCCTTTCAGTCCACCAAGCACATTCATGCTGTTGTTCTTTGATGCATGGACCTGCAGGTAAGATGCAGACATGTTAGTTTCTGCCTCTTCTATGCGGAGCTCTTGTTTATGGCATAAACAAGAATAATCATGTACTATATGGGGAGAAAGCAGTGAAAACACTGTACAGTTGGAGGACTATTAAGGACCTTTTAAGAACTTTAAAAATGGAGGCAATGTGAAAGACATACATGGTGTAACTGTAATAATTCTTATTCACCAAATCTGTTATCTGCAATACTGTTAAAGCTCAAAAAGAGGGAGTGGCTATGCATTCATCTTCCAAATATTTAGAAAGTTGAAGAAGCCTCTGAATTATAGAATATAAAGAGCACATTGGCTTTGTTTGCCGCAGTAATGCTTGCAGATAAGCCTCTTTGCATTCAAGGGTGACAGCATGGAATGACACTTTGGGGGTACTACATGTGTTCATTCACAAGGCCTCTTTAATCATTTGTCTGAAATGGTATAGAGTTTCCTGCCTGAGGAGCAGGGGTTTGGACTAGAAGACCTTCAAGATCCCTTCCAACTCTGTTATTCTGTTAACATTCAAACCTCTTATTTTTGCTCCCACCTATTATTCAGCATGCAATTCAAATGGAGAAGACTACATTTCTTTTCTATTAAAATCTTGCTTTGATTGACAGGTAGGTAGGCAGGCTGCCAAGAGCCCAGTTGTGTCAATGATGAGGGAAGATGGGAAAAGTCATCCAGCACACAAATGTGTATTTTGGACAACTGCTCACTACACCTACGAAGATAATTCCCCCCCCCCCCCCCCGCTTTCCCTTTGCATTTCTCTCCCCAAGAATTGCTGCTGCTTTCAGGTACTATTGCAAGGCATAACCCCACTCTCCTTTCTCAATCACAAATGCTTGTTAGCTCTTTGCCTGCATGAAAACTTTCAATCGATCCAACGGTGCAGTTCCAGTCCTAGAGACAGCACCAGCCATAGCTCCAGCTATGAGTTGTTTCCACCACATCCCAGTTTTCTTCTCTTTCTCAGAAAACTCATCAGGAACAGTGAGGCACTCCCCAATGTCAAGGACCTATCAAAACAAGGGAAAAAAAATAAGGGTTCAAGCACTTTATTTTGAAATACTATTGGGAGAAATATGCTAGAATCAAAAGTAATGGGCAAATATTCTAAAGGAACTCATGTTCAGGTTTCACTATACTGAATTCAAACACTATTGATATTTCGGGTTGTTATATTGATCATCAAAATCCAAACAGATAAGTTTGGGCAAATCAAATATTAAAAGCGGGACTGAAGTTGAACCCAGGGTCAAAATATGCTGGGGATCACTATTCTGCATAACTGCTCAAAAAGCAAGTTCTATTCCCACCTTCCTGGTGAAGAAAGCTTACAGAACACTTAATTTCCTTAAACTTTTTAACCAAATTAAGTCACTAGAAATGTATTCATCTTCTCACATTCTGGCCTCTCCTTTTCTGCACCGACATGTAAAGGCTTCCTACCACACTCTGCTATTGAGCCTTCCTACACACTCCTGTTTCCAAAAATTTACCGCAGTCTACATACCAAGCCAAATCAGGGGTTGTAAATCACAAATGAAGCTTGCCTGATTAGCTGATCACCTGTTGAGAATCCTGCTCAAAGGTACATGGAGGTTAATATTGAAAGCACTGTGCTCAAGAACTCAAATAACTGAATAAAAAATGAAAATCAGGCCGGCACACATAAGACTATTTTGCAAAAAGCTTTAAAAATGGCATGGATTATCATATTAAAATAGTTATAAGAATCAATGTATATCCTTATCTAAACTAGGAAAAAAACCACAGTCAAAACACCTTGGTCTCTGCCCATTGGTCCTCTCTGTTTTGGCAACAGGATTAAAGTCTTTTACCTGCTCTTTTTAAGGATGAAAAATAAAGTAATCCAAAAGGAGAAACTAGAGACTGAATCATATAAGATTATAAACTGAATAGCCCATACTGTAAACACTGCAAATTCAAAACATTGCCTTCCTATCCAAAAGTGTTTTTCCTTAAAAAACACTAAATGTTTAACATTAACATTACTTTTTATTTTAAAGATCCTGGAAATGCACAGGTGTACAGGGAACAGAATGATAGAGTGCAGCTGGGATAGTAAATTGATTCAATACCAGCAACATAAAGACCAGAAACACCAGATTAAAATATCTTCTCAATCAGGCAGCTCACAGATGATCTGGGGCAAGAATAGGTTCCCAGGGTTATCTTGAGGATAAAATGTTATTATGCTAAGCTCCTTGGAAGAAAGGCAGAATAAAAATACTGCATAACAAATCAATGAATTTGTCCCAAAAATTACATAATTATGTAAAGAATTACACAAAGAAACCAGTTGCTACAGCGTTTATCAAAAAGTGAAGAGGATATAGGTAGTGTACAGAGATCATCAGCTCCTTTGTTGTGTGTCTGTAGGGGTTGATTAAGGGCCCTGTTAAAGGGCAAAACAGACTCAAGTGCTGCTTTTTTATACCAACACCAGAAGCAGAAATTCATTCTGCATGGAACCCCGTTTCTATAAACAGGCCTGCTGAAGTCCCTATATTCCTGTTTTTATGATGAGCTACAAGACATAAACAGAATCAAAGGGGCTCAGTGAGGCAAAGGCAGGGCAACAGGACTAGAAGTCTAAGGAATCTGGAGGGCAGAGCAAAAGAAGAAAAATACTGCAGAAGGAAGCACTGCCTGACCTACCAGATCGTCTCCCACAATGGACTCCAAGCCTTTGCCGTGTCGATGGTCAGCCTCCCATAGTTCCACCAGGGTCAGCAGCTTTGCATCACTATGGATCCCTGAGACACTGGGGCCCTTTCTGATAGAAAAAAGCTTTTCCATGATGGGTAAGGATAGGCAAGATGAGAAGAAGGCAAGGAAGGGACGCAGCCAAGCCTTCCAGCAACCTTCTAATGGGATTGAAGAGCTAAAAGTGGATGAGGAGGGACTTGAAAGAGTCAATCCTATCAGCATTTGTGGATTATATGATGGGAAATGGACCTGCTCCAATCCAAGCAGAAGTTGAGAAAGAAACAGATCTTTGGGAAAGGATGGACTTTTGAAATATTTTGATGCAGAAGGCGGCAAATTCAAGTGAAAATCTGGCTCCCACCAAATAGAATGTAGGTATAATTTGACATTTTCCTAACTTTTAAATAAAAGGAAATTGCACTCTTTTTAAATTTTAACACAAAATGTTATTCATTGAAATGGGGCTTTGCAGGAGACCTTCCCATGGATTGCATACAGATTCCATACATCACCCCAAGCCTGTCAGCAAATATGGGGATACCATTGGTAACATGAACTGTCTTTTGGTCTCCATTCTATTCCAATCAATGGAGTCCTCATTATTTTCTGTGAATAAGGACTGGAATTCCAACCATCTTCTATCCTTATCAATCTCAAATTACAACACAAAACAGAAGAATACTTCCGCTGAGATCACATGATCAGACATCCCAATTTTTCCAAGACAATCCTAGTTTAGGGTAAACTCCCTGACCCCAAAATAGGAAAACATTAGTTTCTAGGAATACATCCAGCAATAGCAGGATAAGTAGCAGGAGGCTTCAGCTGCAAGACTGTGGGGGCACCTACCCTCTGGAATCAGTTGCCCCCAGAGATAAGGAGAATCCAAGACCTTAGTGCCTTCCGCCGTGCCCTTAAAACCCACTTTTTCCAGCAAGCTGGGCTGGTTTAAGAAGAAATTTTAAATGTTTTAATTGGTTTGTATTTTTAATTTTGGGCCAAATTTATATATATTTTAATTGTTTTTTAATATTTGTATTTTATGTTTTTTAATTCTGGCTGTACACCGCCCTGAGTCCTCAGGGAGAAGGGCGGTATATAAATTTAAAATAAATAAATAAATAAAGACCATTAGATGATTAATACCAGCCACAATGCAGGAAATAGTTTCCATTTCATCACTTACTGAGCTTACAGCTATCTTTTTTTTGGGGGGGGGGGGCAGCAAATGTCTGAATTTAATTTATTCAATTTGATATGGCTGTCCACTCCAGAATACTATACCCTGGTAGATGGCAGCAGTTGGTGTTTTTTAATATCTTTTTGCTGCCATTTAGTCAATACTGTAGCCTAGATATTTGCAGCCCTAATTGTGCCTGCTAGAGTATTTGTTTTGGATTAATACTGCAGTAATAAACATATAAACATATGCAGATTAATGGTTTTTACTCTTGGAAAACTAGTCATCGTATGTTGAGTTTAATTTAAACTACATGATGGTTGGTAGGCTACATTTTTCTTGAGATCTGACTAGGCTGCCTTGACTTCTACCTTGACATATCCTAGGAAACTTCTACTTTCTCTGTACTCAGCACATCTGCTACAGATGACTTTGTGTTTAAATATAAACTTTAATCTGCCCTATTTCAATCAACTGATGAGATTAACACAGCGAGAAGATAGAGACCTTGGCTAAAAGCCAGCCCAGAGATAACAAATTTTCAGATCCTCTTTTTCCTAAAGGATCCTGTGATGTCCCTCCCTCACAGGGACACATGTATTTGGAAACCCAGATCAAAGGCAAATGTAATCTTTGAAATGGATACACTGAAGTTTTGGCACATCGTAAAAAGAATTTTCAGGCTCCATCACAAAGACCACAAAAATTGCGTAAATCAAATAGCCCTCATTCCAAGGATAGGGCCTACTAATCAAAACCCAAGATAAAAATCAAGGCCAGCCACTCCCATACCAGGAGAATTCTACTGTGAAGGAACTAGCCAAATATAATCAAGATACCTCTTGCCCACGGCAAAGAATGGCCTCTGCTATACGAGTGAGACCATCAGATGGCTTTACTATTAAAGGATCTTTGTTCAATTTTCCAAAAGAAAAGAAAGAATACATTCCAAGCATGTGGTCAGGAAAAACCCCAGAATTCCAGATGGGACAAAACTGATTGGGAGGGGATGGAAGAAAAAAAAAAAGCTGGTTTAAATCAAAGGCAATATCTCACACCCCAAATACAGGTAGTCTTTTACTTATAATCACAATTGAGCCCAAAATTTCTCTTGCTAAGTGAGTTTTGCCCCATTTTACGGCCTTTCTTGCCACAGTTAGACTTAGACTTATATACTGCTTTACACTGCTTTATAGCCCACTCTAAGCTGTTTACAGAGTCAGCATATGGCCCCTAACAATCTGGGTCCTCCTTTTACCAACCTCGGAAGGATGGAAGGCTGAGTCAACCTTGAGCCTGGTGAGATCTGAACTGCCAAATTGCAGTCAGCTGGCAGTCAGCAGAAGTAGCCGGCAGTGCTGCACTCTAACCCAGGGGTGAAATCCAAAATTTTCCCCTACCAGTTCTGTGGGCGTGGCTTGGTAGGTGTGGCAGGGGAAGGATATTGCAAAATCTCCATTCCCACCCCATTCCAGGGGAAGGATATTGCAAAATCTCCATTCCCACCCCACGCTGGGGCCAGCCCGAGGTGGTATTGCCGGTTCTCTGAACTACTCAAAGTTCCGCTACTGGTTCTCCAGGACCTGTTAGAACCTGCTGGATGTCACCCCTGCTCTAACCACTGAACCACCAAGGCTTAGTTGTTAAGTGAATCACTAGAGTTGATAAGTTAGTCACCTGGTTGTTAAATTAATCCAATTTCCCTATTGACTTTGCATGTCAGAAGGTCGCAGAAGGTGATCACATGGGACACCACAGTCATAAATATGAACCACTTGCCAAGCATCTGACTTTTGGTGATGTGATTATGGGGATGCTGCAAAGGTTGAAACTGTGAAAAACGGTCATAAGTCACATTTTTCAGTGCTGTTGTAACTTTGAACTGTCAATAAATGAAGTGTAAGTCAAGGACTACCTGTGCGGCTTCTGTCTCTCTGTTGCTGCTTTCTACTGAGACTGGCACTCTAGCTGCAGCCCACTTCCCTCCCTCATCACGCTTCTATACAAAGGCATACCCCCTTTGTTTCTTCTCTATTCCAATTTCCCTCTAGTCACATAATTTCCTCCACAAGTAGAAATTACCAAGGTTGGGACCAGAACCAGTAAGTTAAAAGCACAAGGAAAAAGATTCAAGTAGACACCAGGAGGAACTCTGACTTTGTACAGAGTTCAAAGCTGTAAGCCGGTGGAATAGGGAGCCACATGAAGCAGTCATTCTCCTTTGTTGGAGGTTATTCTACTAATAATCACTGACTGAGATGGGAGGCTGCAGAAATTCAATAAATAAATAAATCCTGTGCTGAGTGGACGTTGATGATATCTAAAGTCCCTTCTACCCTATGGTTTTGTCTACATTCTATGTTTTTGTATAGAAAGGCCAACCGAATAAACTTGTTCCCATTTTCTGGCATTGTATGTCCATCTTTAATAAATCATATTATTTCAGCATCTTAGGGTTTTTTCCCCCCTTTCCCTTGTTTCTAACTTTCATAAATGCATTCCTTGCTTTTGTCATAAAGATAACTTTAACACAGCATTTTTCAAACTTGGCAACCTTAAGATGTGTAGATTACAACTCCCAGAAATCTAGGAGTTGAAGTCCAGACATCTTAATGTTGCCAAGTTGCTTTAACGTGTTTCCCCCATGTGCTTACAGACTTCAACCCCAGCCACTATCTGCAACATTCAGAAAAGCAGGAAAGAAGTCAGAGAATATAAGATAAATTTCCAAGTTATTTGTTTCTTGACTGATTTGCCGAAATTGCAGACTTTCTAATTGGTGTGTGTATATTTGTGTGACCATGTAGAGAAAAAAATGTAAAATTCAGAGTTGGAAGAAATGTAATTGCTTTTAAATGACAGAATTCAGCCACTCAAGTTTGTGAATAAATAAAAAATCCCCCAAATTAGAATCTGTGTTTTAGCTAGGATGCTTGTGGTTTAAAGTCAGCTTTGAAATGGAGATTGTAAAGTAAATGTTATTTTAGTGCAGGCAACATAATGCTTGTGAGCATCCATTAGCATCCCATTGGCACCTATACCCTGCCTCAAAAAAAATGGGCATTAATAATTCATTTTAAAATTTAGTGAGAATGCCTACAACCCTACCACTGAACTACACAGCCAATCTACAATTTCTTTCTCTTAACAAAGATGACCTATCTGGCAATAAGGACATAAAACAAAGGCAAAACTCTTATTTATGTTTCTTGAAATTAGTGTCTTTCACCTGTTACAAATAACAGAAATAATGATTGACATGAAGACACAGCAAGGTATATAGAATGAAAAGGTTACTTTGCAATTCCAGAATTCTGTGTTCAAACATTTTTAAAAGGTGCAAGCATCTACACATACAATTTAATTGTGTTCAGGGGATTGATCAGGAGCAGGGTGGGAGGAAAAAGAGGCTGAGGTGGGTGGATTAAAATATGTATAAGTCAGAATACCTCCCATCATGTCTTGTCCAGCAGTGTGGATAGGATATGGCAGGATTCTTTGCAATGAAACACTGAAGAGGATCAAACTGTGGGGATGCTACCCTGCAGTTCCACCCATAACAAAAAACAGAGAAGTAGGAACATAATGCAAAAGAAAATTCATGTTTGGATAGTTCTCACTCAAATAATGTATGCTCTAAAGAAGATTTCCCCCCAAAGGTCAACAAAGTGTTTCATTTCTTAAATATATATGCCACTCATCTCTCTAATAAAGAAACCTCCCTGAGCTCTTCCTCCAGTTTTCCCTTAATAACTGGCCTCATTTGAGGATCTCTATTTGATAAAGAGAATGCAAATGATATTTATAAGACTCCCCCAATCTTAAGAACCTTAATAATGTCCTCCATGCAGTCCATGGTAAGGAGTGATGGTAGTTGTAGTCCAATAACATCTTAAGGCTCTCTCCCTCCCCCACAGAATGAATGGGCGGAGAACAGCCTTATTGTCCCATTCAAGTCCTTGGTGCTCTTTATGGCCATTTTCTTCCCAGTGGAAATCTAAGCCAGGGTTTTCTAAGGACACCCAAGAAACTGCCTTGGATCCCCTAATTTGAGACAGAGTTATTTCAGACTAAATATGTGGCAATAATTACAGCTGGCTGGAAATATTCACTTCAAACTGGGGAAACATATATCCCACTAATGCAGTTGTCTAATGTAAGGAAGATATAAATGTTATTTTCCCCAAAGCTACATCCATGCTAGATTCAGTATCTTTCCAGACCTAGTCGTCAGAGCAAAGAGATGTGATTTGCCCACTGGCTGTTCACCTATTGGGTCTGATTTCTTCTAGTTCTGTAACTCCAAGCTTGCCAATTTTCAAAACAGTGGAGAGGGATGGCATAGACAATAATCCCAGGTTTGGCTAGAAGGGAAATATGGCTTACCATTGAGTGCTTCCAATAGTGCACTATCTCTTCCATGTTCTCTAATGGATTGAGGATGAAGTGGTCTCGCCACTCATTCCAGTCAATGGTCATAGTGCCATCTTTGTCGATGCTGCAAAACACAAGCCCACACAGTACCGAGGACAAGGAACAATATTGGGTTGATTCTACCCCTCTTCACTGTAGAAACAAGAGGGCAACCTAGAACAGAGAGGATGCTTTGTTCAAATGGTAGGACAGAATGCAGAATAGAAATCCCAGTGTCTTTGCTGGAACTAGTAGCAGGATCAGTTCCAGCTCTGAGAGTGAAAACTCTAAATAAAATGCTCAGAGAAGCAGTTTTTGGAAAACTATTAACTGGCAACATCAACGCCAGGGCTTTACAGGCCATTTTAACTTTCCATTCTTCTACGTCAACACATAGGGAAATAAACATTATAGATTCAGGGAAGGCACTGAGAGCTGATAGGATAAATCAGAAGCCTCAAATCATTCCTGAGCACTGTCCTCTCCTCCAAACTTTTAGTCCAGCTGGTCAATAGAAATGAATGCAACTGCTAGATTTCATTCCAACCCAGCAAAATGAAACACCTCTGGCCACATTTCAAATATTGTAGGATAAGGAGATAGGAGGGGCACAAAGCAAGAACAGTTTGAGTCTCACCTGTGCAAGATTTTCTCTGCTTGTTGGAGAGAGATGTAAACTCCCAGGCACTGGAAAGTTTGCTGGATCTCAGAGACATCGATCTGGCCTGCAACATAAATACAAAGACAAAGAGCATGGCTATCCATTTGGGGGATTAGGGCTCAGTCCAGGAAGCTGAGCAGTTAGGAGAAGCCTAGAAGGCTTCTAGTAGGATGAAGTGAGCTGTACTCAAAATTTTCATGGGCCTAAGAAAGAGAGAGAGAGAATCAGAATCAAAGGACTAGTGGGTCTGGAGAAGTCTTAAACAGATTGCAAAAAAAAAACAAAAAAAAAAACAAAAAAAACCAGATGCTACCCGGTAGCATCTTGGAAGTTTTTTCAGGGCAGTATATTGCAAGTGCAGGGAAAGGGACTATAAAATCAGCCATCCCTGTTTTCCAAACTGCCAATATTTAGCCCTCTGTGAATCTTCCCTGCTTGAAGAGGAACTAATGGGGAGTTAGAGAAAATGCTTAAAGAGCTAGAGGACAAACAACCTCACAGAGCTCTGCAAAAGACCAAAAGGGAGATTTTTGGTTGGATATTGGAGGGCTGTACTAGAAGAGAGAATGAATGAAAAGGAAAACACAGAGCAGTCAGTATAAATGAGTGCTGGGTGAAAAAGAAAACATAGCTGGAAAATGGGCTCCAGCAACACTGTCAAAGATTGATCAGCTTTGTTTCTACAAGTCCATGCTTGTAAAGGATGGGGTGGTTAACAATTGTCTCAATGTTATGCCCCAAAGGCATCAATCTGGTCCCAGCTCCAGGAAATGCTTTGCTAAAACTAGACACACAAGCAAAGCAATGTCAGGTCTGGGTAGGGTATGTATTGTCCACAAACAGTTGAACAATCAACCACCTTTCTCCCTCCCAGAAGGTTTGGAACAGAGAGGAAAAAAGAGTGATGCTAATTGGTTACACTGTTTTTTTCTATAGTTTTAATGTTTAAATTAGCACCGAGAGCACTTTTTAAGTCAAAATATTGATTAATAATGCCTGCATGTATTCTCGGACAGAGCAAGGTTTTTTTCACTAGACCTAAAAATACTAGAGGCAAAAATTGAAATCTGGATGATAATTTTGTTTTAAACAAATCACATTTTGTACCAATATTTGAGACTGATTAAGATGCCTAAGCAACACTCATTTGGAGAACTACAATACAAGCCAAGAATGTAATGGCAGCTATCCTTATCATTCTAATCCCTATGGCTTTCCCTTATAAATCTGTACAGTACAGTACTAAGAATTTACAGGTCAGTGGTAGACGATAGTATTGATATACAAGCCACCTTGTCAGGTTCACACATCACATAATGTGGTTTGTTGATTATAGCTTAGTATTCTGTGTGAATGTATTAAACCTGGTTTTTAACCATATTTTTCATCTTAGTCATAAACATAGCTGCTAGTGGACTTAGAATTTTCTCAATATGCTATCACAGTGGTTCTCAACCTTTTCTTCATCACGGATCCCCTTTAAATACCTGTTGTGGCCACGGGCCATGGTCATGGCCCATCAAGACTTAACTCAAGATTTAAATCATAACATTTCTTCAAGACTTTGCAGACTCCGTGACAACATTGCGCCCACCCAGGGGTCCGCAGACCACAGGTTGAAAATTACTGTGCTATTTCATAAGAAATTGGCCTGCAAGCTCCTTTAATCTACTAGTCAGCATAAGGAGGAAATGATGGAATTGGGAACACAATCATTCAGAGGGTAGCAAGTTGGGTAATATTTACAGAGGAACTGCAGGATTCCCACAGAACATCAATTTAGCCATGACTACTGTAAGCCGCCTAGCTGATGCAACTCTTTATTTGGGAAGAGTGGAGAGCATTTGCATAGGAATTGGGAGGGAGAGTACAGTCCAACAAACATCACAGAACTAAACTTTAGACAACCAAGAGTTGGCAAAACAGCAAGACTGTGCGGGAAAGTAACTAGTGAGGGAAACCAGCCATTTTAATCACCTCCATTTTTCCATTTGAAATTTCTGAATACTTTCATTCTCACAGGAAAATTAGCACGGTCCTGACTTACAGAATATTTTTTCATTTGGAGAGCTGAAACATTTTTCCATTTTTACTTGAACAAGCATAAAACCATACCGGCATGATGTCTGCTGACCCCGTTACCCAGAGGTGGGCTGCTACTGGTTCGCACTGGTTCTCCGGAACCGGATGTTAATTTTCTGAGCAGTTCGGAGAACCGGTTGTTGGAAGAAATCTTTGCCCACTTTACAGGACTAATCCTGCAAGGGAGGCAGGAAGGAAACATTCTGGTATGCCTATATTTCTAACCTAATCCTTATCTTAATTGCCCTGCTGCTTTAAGTGTTTTCAGAAACTGCCTCTGGGTTAAGCTTGTTACATTGTAAGCCTTGTGCCCAGACTTTCTGTCTCTAGACTGAGCTTCTCCAGAATCCCCCCACTCCCTGGAATTTTTTGTGATACTTTTATTCCTGGGGCTTGACTTTCTTAAAGATTGTTAAAGGGTTGTTTTAAGCTTTTTGGAGTATACTTCCAACACGGCTGGAAAAGCTATTTATAGAAGAGTTGGCATAGCTATAGAAGAAATGGCTCAGAGGCAGGATGCAAGCTTGGCATTCTGCCTGATTTTTTTTTACTGCTTTTCTGGGGGCAAGTGATCTTTCCTTAAATCTGGATGATTACCTAAGGATATCTTGTGAGGTGAATGAGACCAGCTGGTATCTTTAAGTGGTGCGAATGGATCTAATGATTGCTTCTCCTGGGTGGGAAACTGTGCTTTGTTAGTTCAGAGCACAGGAATCTCGTCTATGGGGATTCTTCAGTCATCTAGGTCATGGTTGTCCCAAAGGTGGTTTTTTCAAGAGGCAACTGGACTTCTGCGCGTGAGCAAACCAGCAGCCAAGGTAAGTGAAACCCACCACTGTTACGACCATTGCAGCATCTCCACGGTCATGAGAGGGCGGGCGAGGAGAAGCACCTCTCAACGTGACATCGAGTTGGCTGTGCCCACCCAGCCAGTCATTAGGGCAGTGAACCAGTTGTTTAAAAATTTGCAGCCCAGTCCTTATCTTGCTTATCATTTTCTTGCCTGTGTTCCATCTATGTTGTGGCCCGTCAGCGGCCTGTGCAGATTGTAGCTGATTCCAACAACAAGGAGGCTGGTGTGGTGCTGCGCCAGCAGCCTGTGCAGCTGGCACTCGAGTCGGACAGTGAGGAGGCTGGAGAAGATGTGCCAGAGGCAGGGATTCAGCCAGGGCCTTCAGAACCTCCAGAAGCTCCTTTAAGTGAAAAGGATGAAGAGGAGGAGCCTCTTCTCAATGCACCGGCGCGCAGAGCTGCCAAAAGGCAGGAGTGGCTCCTCAGGAGGAGGTCTCCTTGAGAGTAAGGCTTAATTGGCCACTCCCTTAGCCTATTTAAGGAGGAACGCCGCTTGCAGCAAGCTGTAGGGAACAACTTTAGTTCACTCTCCATTGCGTCTGGATTCTCTGCAAAATTGTTTCTGGGCTTTCTGCCAACTCTAGTAAGACTGTAATTACCTTATCTTAGAATTCTTGTAGGCTGTTAAGACAGTTTATTAACAGCCTTTGGTTGATAAAGACTGAGTTATTTGAATAAAATAAGCTTTGTATAGAGTTTGTGTGTGCTGCGTTCTTTGGGGTCCGTAGCTGGGGCAGAACAATCTAACATGGATTTTAGATCCTGAACATAAATAATATTGGAACTAAGGATGACATAAGTCTATCTCACTCATGGGCTGCTGAGGATGAAAAGAAAGACATGTCATTGGGCACAGCCTGCCCATTAAAAAAAACATTGCCAGGGCATGTCTGTAATTCATTCAGTCCAAGTGGGAAAAGGGTCAGAGACTGTGTACTTAGTACAACAGAGGAATAGCACAAACAGGACAAACTCTTCTCCCAGGACTGCTTTTAAATAAATGACTTGAATCACACAGCCTGCTAAGGTCTGAAGTAGTCTGTTTAGCTCTGGATTGACATACTCTGTAAGCCCAAAAGTTATTATTTGTAACCACTGATTGTATGGCTTAGTGTGACATGGGAACCCACTCTGCATTTGGTTTGCATTCATTGGGAAATGGCAGAAAAACTACCCTTGGCCTTTACTCAGAGTAAAAAATCCTAGGAAATTAATTCCTGAAAGAAAGAGGTTGCTTTAACCCAACAAGCTGGTTGGGGTTCATGGGAACTGTGTTCTGACATATTTGCATAGCTCAAGAAAGGATGCTTTAATTGGGTATTAGAAAAAAAAAATTCCATCAGAACAATTATATAAAAAGCAGTAAATGGCAGAACTGGAAAAACTGCCTGGCTTTGTAGGAGCAAATATGCAATTAGGTGTCCTGCATAGTTTTAATGCAGAATGTTTTATTACCCCAGAGATATCAGAATAAAAATAGGAATAGAACATTGGAAGCACAAGATGTGTTCACTGTGTTCAAAATAAGAAATTTCAACCAGGCTAAAACAAGATGCCATTAGCTATTCTTCTGAGTTCAGTGAGCAACTATGGGATTAGTAGGTGGCTCTTTTCCATTTGTTTTGAGATCTGTAAATATATTGCCTCACCCTTCCTTATTTTAAGACACTTAAAATAAGTGTCTTAAATAAGAAAGCAATGTTCACAATGTTAGTGCTGAGTCTACTATAACTTAAAGCTGTGGTGTGGAAAAGTCCTTAGACAAATTAGCTATTTGTTCTACTAGCCATTTCTCATAAGTGGGTAGTAATTATGCTGGATTTAGCCTGCCAGCCTGCCTGCCTGCCTGCCTGCCTGCCCCTCTCCCTCCCTCCTTCTCTCTCTAGCAAAGGTGGGAATCACTCCTCCCCAATCACTATTGATTGGCATAGACCAGTGGTGAAATCCAAATTTTTTTACTACCGGTTCTGTGGGTGTAGTATGGCTTGGTGGGCATGGCTTGGTGGGCGTGGCAGGGGAAGGATACTGCAAAATCTCCATTCCCTCCCCACTCTTGGGGGAAGGATATTGCAAAATCTCCATTCCCACCACACTCTGGGCCCAGCCAGAGGTGGCATTTGCCAGTTCTCC